CCGGCAGCTCGCAGGAGACCTGCCTGGGGCGTTTGGGTTTAGGGTTCAGGGTTTGGGGCTTGGGGTTGAGGGCTTTGGGTTTAGGGTTTGGGGACCTGCCTGGGGCGTTTGGGTTTAGGGTTCAGGGTTTGGGGCTTGGGGTTGAGGGCTTTGGGTTTAGGGTTTGGGATTTGCGGGTTTGGGGTTTAGGGTTTGGGGTTTAGGGTTTAGGGTTTAGGGTTTAGGGTTTAGGGTTTAGGGTTTAGGGTTTAGGGTTCCAACGACAGCAACACGGATGTCAACCTGCCTAGAACCTCGCCACCCACAGGCAGCCCTATTGCCCACTCGAAGTGGGAGCTTGCATTCTGTAGCGAGCGTCCACCTAATAGAATAAACCCTAAACCCTAAACCCTAAACCCTAAACCCTAAACCCTAATCAGGGGGGGGGAGAACGCCATTGGCAGGTTTCGGCACAACGTCACGACCAGGCGGAGACGAGGCCGCAACCCAAAAATTGGGCAGGAAGCTGAAAGCAGGAACCTGATGGCCGCCAGATCATCCACAGTATTGCGAAGGGGCTTTGGGGGGGGGGGGGGAGTATTATAGTATAATACGATTATCTATTCCACAACATCTCCTGCTATGACGGCGGACATTCTGCCTTCATAGTCCTGCGCCACGCAGCCTCGGTGGCCTACATATGTACACAGCGACACATTGCCGGTCTTCGATTTGCTTCAGAACCCAAAACAAAATATCTTCTTCCTTATAAGGGCAATATAGGGATTACTATCTTTAATCTTTCGGGGAGAAAACAGGTCATGAAGCTGCGCAGCTACACAGTGAGCGACCGCAAGTAAGAGTAGTTGATGTCATTCTGTCCGCCCAAAGCCTGACATGAACACCCTAAACCCTAACACCCTAACACCCTAACACCCTAACACCCTAACACCCTAACACCCTGACACCCTAACACCCTAACACCCAAACACCCTAACACCCTAACACCCTAACACCCTAACACCCGAACTAACACCCTACACGTGAGCGGACGCTTCACTGGGCACCTCTCCTGACCTATCAAAGGTACATTTCGTATGTTGGAGCTAGGGTTCAGGGTTCAGGGTTCACGCCTTTAGCCCAAGCACCGTAGGGTTTAGGGTTTAGGGTCTGTGTAGGGTTTGTTTGGGGTTTCAGGGTGTTTAGGGATAGGGCCTAGGGTTTCGGGTTTAGGGTTCAGGATTTAGGGTGTCGAGGTTGAGGACGGACTTCCCGCTTCCACCAGGTTTCCCGGCGAAGTCAGGCCATGCAGCCAGTTGCTGAGCGCTCCTGCTCTTTGTTCAGGGGGTTCGACTGACAGGGTCTAGAGTTTAGGGTTAGGGTTTAGGGTCTGGGGTCGAGGGTCTAGGGTTTAGGGTTTGGGGTTTAGGGAGCAGTGACGATGTTAGAGGTATCACGCACACGCACACGCAAACGCACACGCACACGCACAAGTACACGCACACGCACACGCACACGCACACGCACACGCACACGCACACGCACACGCACACGCACACGCACACGCGCAAGTATTGAAGTATTGAAGAGGGCACAGGCCTGCGATCAGCTTGGATCAGGATGTGAAGGACCGCCCGCCCCCCCCCCCCCCCCCCCCCCGATAGTTTGGATGCGTACTTGTCCGATAGTTTGGATGCGTACTTGTTAAAAGTATGGGGGCCCTCAAAGATGTGTCTAGAGATGTAAGCATAGAATCAATATACACAGAGGTACCTATAAACTCAAATAAAGGGCCCTTACTCAAGGGTCTAGAAATCGCTTAGGGCTTATTCGGGTTTAGGGTTTGACCCTTGGAAGCCGTAATCCCCTAGAAAAGCCTCGAACCCTCAAACCTGAAAGCCGAAACCAACACCGACTGGAAACCCGAAAGCCCGTGTGTCTTAAACCCTACAGGCCCCAAAAACCTAAACCCTCAAGCCCCAAACCCCAGGCCCCAAACTCCAACCCTAAACCCTAAACCCTAAACCCGAAACCCCCAAACCCTAAACCCCAGGTGCTTAGGCCTCAGCCCTGGACCCGAAACTCCTCGGTGCAAGGGGTTTCGCCACCGATGAGCCGCCCGAGTGCCCGAGTAACAGGGCTACGGAGCGGTTTCAGGGGTTCGAGGGTGGAAATTTTAGGGTTGAGAGCTGAAAATTTAGGGTTGGGGGGCTTGAGGTTGGAGGATTTGGGGCTTAGGGGCGCGGGTTTGGGCCCAGAGTTGGGGGTTTAGCGCAGAGGGCTTAGGGTTTGGGGCTTCAGGTTTTTGGGAATGAGAAGGGGCTTGCAAGAGGACTTGCAAATAGGGGCCACGTGCCCCCACATTTAGGGTCATGGGGACTGAGGGGCTGTGGACGGCCTCGGGGTTTAAGGCTTTAGAGGGGGTTTGGGTTTAGGGGTTCAGGGGTTCAGGGTTTACTTGGAGGTTCATGGTACTTATAACCCAATTATCACTGTACTTATAACCCCCCCTCAAGTTGAGGGGCGTAAGGTTTTAGCTTGCCCTAAACCGGCATAAGGCTTAGGGTTTGAGGTTTGGGGTTTGGGAGTTAGGGTTTCGGGTTAAGGGATTTAGGGTTTCGGGTTTAGGGATTACGGTTTGGGGCTTGGGGTGTCAGGATGAGGGTTTGGCGTAGTAGCTCTATCCGGCCTTTTGGTTTGCGCCCAGCGGGAAGATCAGGAAGTCGCGCGTCACCAGGCGGGGGAGGCCCCCCTCCCCTCATGAAGAGGGGTGGACAGCTTCGTTTAGGGCTCCATTAGGATTTAGGGTTTAGGGTTTAGGGTTTAGGGTTTAGGGTTTAGGGTTTAGGGTTTAGGGTTTAGGGTTTAGGGTCTAGGGTTTAGGGTTTAGGGTTTGTTTCAGCAACGCTCCACTTAATTGTAAGAGGGGCCGCCTTATCACAAGGACCCCCAAAAGGGCATCACTTAGGGACATCACCATTTGGGGGGGAGCCTCCCCTCCTGCAAAGCGGAGTGCATGAACTTTAAAGGGACTTTCATGGAAACCCCAAGCAGGTATCTGTAGTAGGAATAGAATGGGAGTATACCTACTAGTCCTTATATTCCCCGTTTATTCCTGCTATATTCTTGGGGCTCCCTAAACCTTATAAGCCCTAAACCCCAAACCCTAAACCCCTGTTTGGGGTTCCCATTAGGACCCTTTTGAACTCGGGGCGCCCCCAGGGTGGCACGGGGAGGAAAAGCGCGCTCCCGCACCGCGGAGGATTCTGGGACGGCGAGCCTGCGGTCGCAGCCTTCCTTGAGGGATGGGCAAGTTTAGGGTTTAGGGTTCAGGGTTTCGGGTTTAGGGTTTAGGGTTTAGGGTTTAGGGTTTAGGGTTTAGGGTTTAGGGTTCAGGGTTCAGGGTTCAGGGCCTACAGGGATTAGGGCCTACAGGGTTACGGGCTTAGGGTTTAGAAATCTTGAGTTTAGGGCTAGAGTCGGAGGCTTCGGGCTTAGGGTTGCGCATCTGGATGCGATCCCAGGTGCATCCGACGGGACACTGCAAGCACTTCAAGCTCTTATCCGTGGCGTGGCCAGGGACGATGGCCAGCGAGTTTGGTGGCATTCAGCTTCGGAGGTTCGCAAACCCTAAACTCTCTAAACGTTCCTTTGGGATGTTCAGGCCTGCTTCGATAACCCGCAAGTTTGAAGGTTATACTTCCGGGTTCTTGGTGGAGACATTAGGGAAATAGGGACCCTGCATGCAATCCTTGAAGGGTGATCTAAAGCGGGCATAAAGGTACCTAACTCCTTGATGTTCTAGTGCAAACTAGCTACAGGTCTTAGGAACAGGTCTGTACATGCAAAGACAGAGCCCCTCAGCCGTCTTCGATCGCCGCTGTCTCTGGCGTGTCCTGGGAACGTCACCTAGCATCCCCTCCTGAGAATTCTTAGGGCTTAGGGCCTGGGGTTAGGGTTTAGGGCTCGGGGTTTAGGTTTTAGGGTTTAAGGTTTCCTGTGCCCAAGAACTCATAACTACCCGAGCACTGTAGGCCAAACCCGAAGCCCTAAATCCCTGAACAAATGAAACCCCAAAACCTGATCTCTCAACCCTCGTCACCTTGAACCCGAAACCCAAAAACCCAAACCCCACAACCCTTGACCTTAAATCCAAACCCTGAATTAGGAGTGAACCTCTAGCTGAGGTTCGAGGTTTACGGTCTGACATAAGGATACCGAGAGACCCAACCGATACAACCGAACCCACTAACCACTAACCCTAAACCCTAAACCCTAAACCCTAAACCCTAAACCCTAAACCCTAAACGCTAAACGCTAAACCCTAAACCCTAAACCCTAAACCCTAAACCCTAAACCCTAAACCCTAAAACCCTAAAAAACCCTAACAACCCTAAACCCTTGTAAACCCTTAAACCCTAAACCCTAAACCCTAAACCCTAAACCTAAACCTAAACCTAAACCCTAAACCCTAAACCCTAAAAACCTAAACCCTTAAACCCAACCCTAAAAACCCTAAAACCCTGAACCCTCCCAAGGAAACGACCGGGCCCCAGCCGCATGCTGCTCACGTCTGCAAGCCCTTCGCCTCCGTGTGCACAAGATTTACCTGTGCCGGGAAATCCAGCTTAGGGTTAGGGGTTTAGGGTTTAGGGTAGGGTTTAGGGGTTGGGTTAGGGTAGGGGTTAGGGGTTAGGGGTTAGGGGTAGGTTTTAGGGGTAGGTTAGGGTTTAGGGTTTAGGGTCTAGGTTAGGGTTTTAGGGTTTAGGGTTTAGGTTTAGGGTTTTAGGGTTTGGGTTTAGGGGTTTAGGGCTCTTAGGGTTTAAGGTTTAGGGTTTAGGTTTAGGGGTTTAGGGTTTAGGGTGTTAGAGTTTTAGGGTTGAGTGCGGGTTGACGGGGTTTGGTTTTTAGGGCTTAGGGCGGCGGGGTTTTTGTGTTTGTGGTTTGGGGTTTGGAGTTCAGGGTTTGGAGTTTGGGGGTTTGGGGTTTGGGCTTTGGGGCTGTGGGGCTTTGGGGGCTTT